TGTATTAAATATATAATATTATTAAATATATTAAATAATAATATATTAAATAAATATATTGAATAAACATCATTATATAAGACAAAAAGGGTTTCAAAAAAGAGAAGAAAATGAAAAAAATAATAATAATAAAATCCGTTTTCAAAAAATGAAAACGAGAAAATAAACACATTTTTTTTTTATTTTTAATTTTTCACAAAAGACAAAAACAGTTTTGTTTTTATTTTTAAAAAAATTTTAGGCCAAACGCATTTTCTGTTTCCGTTTTCATTTTTTAGTCTTACAAAACGTGAAAAATAAAAATAAAAACGGAAACAAACAGAGCCAAAGTTTTTACACTCCCATTTATCAAAAGCCTCTTGATATAAGACAATAGGCAATGAAGAAACTTGGCACATCTGAGAAACAATATAGCAATTTATAAGAAATGAAAATCAACACAAATATTCAGAGTCTCTAAATCTAACATGTAATAAATTCGACAAGTCAAAGTAACCAAACATCCCACGGGCATAACATTCTCTCTAGCAATACCCAATACACAATACACAATACACAATACACAATACACAATACAATAATAATGTCAGAATTGTAGGGTCTAATTTAAAAGGCGCCCATGGCCATGGTAATGAAGGTACAACCACCACTTGCAGCGTAAAGGAATGAGAACTTCGCTGGGGCACGTATATGTTCATAATTTAAACTCTAAAAAGTTCGGTATCTATGGATGTTCTTCCATCCAATGTATAATATGAACCTCCAACGACAATTATTAGATACACCGTAACAATAGCAGTTTGCTCACTGCTACGACTGACGTCAGGCAGCATCCCTCAGAATTTTTCAAATATCAAATCATTTCTCAGATCAATTTTCGTACCATGCTAAATTTTCACAAAGTATATACCCTTTCCATTACCAGAACCTGCAAGGTCGAGCCAAATATAATAGGTATAATGGGGCAAATTTCAATATAATGCTGATTCCAAAACAGAACCTTTTAGCTTATCTGCAGCTACGATCTAGGGCCTTGATCGTTGTTCGACGCCAGGTTGCAGTCTCCGCATCAAATCTCAACTCCCACGTAGGCCAGTAATGCAAGTCCTGCTTCAATGTTAGTACTCTGGGTTTTCCGTTGAGGTGCACTGTCCTTACACGAACGAACTCTCCATGTTCTAATCCCTGATTTGAAGACCAACACGCAAAAATACAAGGACTTTAAAAATCCATGAATGCACTAAGGTGGAAAACGCGAGTAGTGTTTTAAGAGTAGAAAACAATAAGAAAGATACAACAATAACGCCAAATGCCATTAAAGAAAACAACAAATGCAATATAGCTTGCGCTTGACTCTGACTACTTCATGCACACAAACAAATAGAGAGGAAATAGTATGTACCTTTGTCACATTCACAAACGCATCTAAATTTGGAGTTGGCTTCCCATTAACTTCAACAATCCATTGAAGAGCATATAAACTATATCTATGCACTGGACTACCATGACACCACCTGGTAATTTCTTTATTGTGTCATCAACATATTCAATAAATCGAACATCGTAGGGGTAAGTGTAACTTACAAAATATCCACTTTAAAAGAAAGAAAAAGAGGAGAAAAAATGCAAAATGGTTAATAAGAATTGACAAACAAGATCTTTACACAGTAAGGCAGGAAACAAAGGAAAAATAAATAAATAAATAAATAAAATAACACGATTGGTTACGAACAAGAATAACTCTGAAGTTGCATACTAAAAGCAGGGCCAGCTTTATAATAGTAGCTTGCTACCCAAAGAGGCCTGATTTCATATTAGCTTTTCTGGAAATGAGACTCACTCAGCCCCAACAGTTTTAAGGTAGACAATCCTTGCAATCTTATTCATCTAGTTAGGGATAAGAATGGGATAAGAATACAAAGTCGGAAGTAATTATATTCTAATTAAACTTGATAAATAGTCAACATCTTGCTCCAACATTCTAAATGTGAAGTTAGTATTTACAAGTGAAGACAAACTCTTACCTTGCCACATATACACCGTGACCTTCGTCTGGGAGAAATCCAAGAGCACGCACTGCTGGATGAGGATCCTGAACAACACACCCACACCAGTTTACTGCACGGGTGGTTCCACTTCCATCCCTGACATCCGTTCCCACAAGAAGATCGATTTCACGTCCCTGAAAGATCATGCAGATCAAGGTATTAAAAATGGATCGCTGCAACTTGTAATATCCACACAAAAAAAGCATCAGTGTCGTAATGTATGCAGTACTTTCTTCAGAGAACCCAGTTTCCTTTCCCAAAGAGTAAAACTATAAACAAATGAATTAAATATGAAATTTCAAATCCATATTTTTCACCTGTCTGAAAATGGTCATGTTAAGCCCCCCCTCATTGTTATCAGATACGTCTAATGCTTGACAAGCATTTTCAATGTCACGGAAGCATGTAACTGGCTCTTTATTGATTGCCAACACCATGTCTCCTTGTTCTAATAGGTTCTCAGCTTTCGATCCAGCCAAACATCCTTTCACACGCAAAACTTGTCGTCTGATTGAATCTTTCTTGACTAGAGACTATAAAAGGAGTTTACTTAGGTTTAATTACAAGGATACAATAAAACTAATAGTGCTCTTAACAATTCAGATTATGTAAGATATCAGTATTACCAATCCTTAAAAAATTTCTATATTGAGTTTACAGCTATCGTCCAGCGCTAATCTAATCTCATATGTATTGTTAAGGAGAAGTATTATAGTGAATTTCATACTTATGGCATATGTAGAAAAACAAGAATTGCAGACAATGAAAGCAAACCTGGACCCAATCATCGCTCAATCCAAAACTCCTTGCTTTTGAAAGCAATGTAGGATACAGTTCAACCTCTAAAATTCTTACTAGTGGCATTGGCCTTTTGACACCATTTATGAGAAGAGGAGGCCCATTGGCACCAGATATAATTTTGTCAAGAACTTGACTGATTGTATAAATTGGGATGCCTCGAACAAATTGATGATCTTCTGAAGTGTTGCAACCAAATTTCAGCTGCGCAAGTGAATATAACCATGAGGGAAAAAAATCAAAACATATTACCAAGCATTGTTATTTATTTCACAAAACTAATTGCACAGTTCAAATCATAATGGATGGTGGTCAACACTACACGGATGTAAACCGAGATATGAAAATAGGTGCATATTGTAATCTGTCGTGGTGTGATGCGTGGATAAACTAATTGCTGACTCCAAGAAACGTCCAGCCAAAGATGTTCAGCATAAAAATTACAAAAAACCCCACCTCCCCCACCCGCGGAAAAGGTTAAAAACAACAGAAGAAATCAAAACAGAGAGCACAAAACACGGAATCTGCCGCAGGAGAAAAAGAATCTGCACAGTTTGGGTGTGAAAGGTTTAAAGATAGGGGTTGTGAACTCACCGTATGTTTCCTTAGGCGTTTTCTTTTCTGCATCAGTAAATAATGGAGGATCAGACACGTCATTTACGTGCTGCGTGGAAATTGGGGATTCCAAATGAAAGAGTAGAGTAGGTGCAGACAGAAAGAGAAAATTGTTGAAACTACATTAATTCGGTAGGATCTTTCAATTTAGCAAGAGATGAAACACTGACATTTGGCGTAATAGTGGAAAATGGTTGGGGAAGAAAGGCAGGGGAGGCTGAGAAATGATCTGCCTGAGAGTGTTGACTCTTAAATGAATGACTACGGAAATTTAACCCAATCACCCACAGCAGCAAAAAAAATATCAAACATAAGCATTGTGAATGTTACATGGTCCTATCTTATATAACTTATATTATCATCTTTACAGGAATATTGTGCATACGTTTATGTACAAATCTCAACTTTTAAAACAAAAAGGCTACATATAAAACTATCTAACAATAATAAAAACAAATTTTCTTGGGAAAGACAATTACACCCATGACTTTTACGATGAAAAGATGACATGACTAAAGTTAAAAGAGGAGACCTGGGTTGAAAAGCTTCCCCATATAGCCTGAACCTTTCCATGCTCATCAGTCAAAACACCAGAAAATGTACTACCAAAATCTGAAAGTGAAACAAGATAATCCAAAATATGTAAAAGAAACAGAGCCATTTTCAAATATAATTGACTGCAGAAACTCCAATTACCAGTATCAAGCTCAATGACTTCCATGTTGGTTGCTCTATACCGTGGGCAATCAGCTGAGCCAATGTTTAATGCAGCACATGGGTTGGTCACAGTGGATTTTCTGGATGTTGCTTGCAGGCTCCTACTCAAACCCACAAGATATACCGAGTCTCCACGGCGCAATGCTGGCTCTACTCACAGTTTAACAAAAAAAAATAACTAAACATAACACAATGCTGGCTGTTTCACAGTTTAACTAAAAAGTAAATAACTATTAGGAAAAAAAGAAGTAAATAACTAAACACAATGTAAAATTATTACAATTGACAAGAAAAAAAAATTACACTAATCAAAAGGTCATTTATACTGCACTAAAAGCGATAGAAAAGCACTAGAAAGCTGACACTAGCTACAACGATTGAACAAAAAACATAGCTCCTAGACATCAATGTGTGCACAATTTGAAAGCTGTCATGTCTGCTATTCAATTATCTAAAATGCAAAACAATTTCTTTCAAGCATGAGGACATATTTCGTCACTCTGAAATATTACCTAGAAGCTATTAGTATTGCAACGGGTTTTTAAAAGGTGATCGATCTGTCAGAAGAAAGTCATTGAGACCTGCTTCTGAGGGCAAATTTAAGCATTAAAAATGTTGAGAGAGATATATAAAATAAAAGGTACAAAACGGCTTTCTCGTAAGAAGATTTTAGAGAAAACTAACCAATGTCATTCATATCAAGATGTGGTGTGGATGAAGGAAATGAGTAGAGATAAACAGAAGAATTAAATCTCGACCAACTAGCCATACATTAAAGAAAGAAAGTAACAAAGTACTCCTTAGAGAGAAACAAACCAGGAAGTAACTCGGCAGCACGGACAGCTGAGGCACCAACCGCTCCAAGAGCAGAGGGGTCATAAGAAATAAGTGCATAGTTGTGAACTGGATGGAGAAAAACTACCTGCAATTGTAGTAGGCAACTTTCAGCCAGGGGAGGAAAATAGAAAACTTAAAAAATAATTAGAAAATAAGGAACACAAACAACCCCCCGCCCTGCCCTGACTAGAAATCCACAAAGGAAAATAGGAAGTCATGGTGATTGTATCAATATTAAAAAATTTACCTCCCCGGGAATTTCAATAGGAAAAGCCGCAAATGACAGCATCACGTCTGATGCAGATATTGCAACTGTATTCTTGTCCACTGCAACTAATCCCATGTTCTCAGAGTGGTATATTACTACACCAGTGCCAAAAAAGTGTTGTGAGTGGACACCGTCGAGCATAAATGAAGGTGGCACGTAAACCTGCATATTTATATGACCATATTGAATGATTAACCAGGCTGCTTCTAGAATGTAATATATATTAAAGAACAGTACAATATGTAATCAATTTAAACTAAAATACTCGATGCAGAAACAGCAAATTAATTCTTCGAAAATAAAATTATACTTATGTTATAAAGAGATCCAAAAACAATAAAATATAGTAAAGAATTGTCATCAAGATTACCTCAAACATTACCAAAGTGGGCTCTATCACGCGTTCAGCAAATGAAGCATTAGCTGCTACAGCAGTTGCAACTTGATAGTCCCTCACTACAGCATTTTCCAAAGTAATTGAATCCTCCAGTTTAGCTTCACTTGTTCCGTGCAAGGTATAGTCAGAAACAAGATTTCCATCAGCAGACAAATCCTCTTTTACACGCCGTTTCTTCACTTCAACATCAACATCCCGAGAATGTATTTCCTCTGAGACTTGTTCACAACTTGTTTCCATGCTAGTAACACCATGGCCATCAGTCGATTCAAGGCTATCGCGACACATGTGTCCCATACAAGTCACCTCAGTGCTCAGTTGGACTGCTTCACCTGCTAGAACTCCTAGGTCCTTGATAGCAGATGATGATAGAATAGAGGTGGATTGAAAAGCAGGCTTAGCACTCCACAGACCAGTACTATCATCACGAGTATAGATCCGTGGAGGAGCATACCATTCATGTCGGTCAACTGTCACCAGGACTGACTGCAGCCATCAGGAGACAACAGATGATCAGTTTCCTGTACGTGAGTCGAGCAAATAAGATGGGAAAGATAACTACATATGAGGAAGGATATGAAGGTATAAACACGTATGCACAGAGACGTCTTTACATACATTCAAATACATACTGGTGTGCTTACGTATGTTAGTATGGGTATACATACCAAATAGAAATTATCAGCAGACAATACAAGACTGCAATTTAACGAATTCATGACCATTTTTTATTAACATAAGATATCTTCTTAGATATCATTTAAAGAGCACCAACAGTACCAAGAATCTGCAGAACATTACTGAAGATCATTCTTCAATTTGTATTGAGAAACCTTATTGTTTGGAAAGAACCCAGTCCAAGGCAGCTCTTACACAAATTTTTCAATAAACCAAGCATTTCATCAAAATTTTTCATGCTTCATACATATCTAAAATCTTCGTTGATGTAGTACCATGAGCCATGATCGCTTGGGTTCCCCTCATTTAGACTTATCTTTCATGAAACAAAAGAGGAAAACAAGGATATAGGTTTTTTTTTTTTTTTCTATTTTGGGGAAAAAGCATCAAATCATCCTTAATCGATGACTCTGATAATCCAAAATGCAAACCCACAGGTAGTAACATAGTGTGACATGCAAAATAATTCCCATTTCCCTCATGCCAAATATGAATGGAAGAATGATGCTAATTATTATAATATATACCTTCCTACGGTGACGATCTGTGTAGCTGACATACTCCAATGGCACCCGAGCACCCCTAGATAGCTTGGATAGAACTGAAATTAGCTCCTCTAGTCGTGATATTTCTTCACCAGCAAATTTCTTAATGATGGCATGGCGTGGGACGCCAGCTCTAAAGAGCATGTATCTGTAACAGTTTAAATTAAAAGCTGAGGTCCACCAGAGAGCTAAGAACATTTTAAAACATAGAGGGGGAAGCCATGTCTCTCTTATATTCCAAATTCAATCTTTAAAATTATTAGTTATGGATATCATGCAGATAAAATCCTTAAAGATTTAGTTCATCAAGTTACATTAACAAAAACTATGGGCATTAAGACTGCGCAGGTGAGGTTTTGCTCAGACAGAAACAATTGAACTGGAAGACCTTTCAAGTATTCTACTTGGAAAGAATACACAGTGCACACCCCCATAAAAATTAAATTTGCACTGGTATGGGAAATTTCAGTACAAGGTGGGGCTAACATTTATAATATTTGATTTTATTCTAATAGTACGGAATGGGATTTGTAAGAGGTAAGTTACTGTTGGTAGAATTGTCCTCCTTTACACATTTATTTCTTTTTCATCATTGTTATGAAAGTTATTGTTTCTTATCACAAAATTATCAGGAAAAACAAAAATCAAAAGTCGGTGGACTAATACAAATACCTCTATCAAACTGGAGCAATATGAAATATAAATATACTATGGCGTTCCATATCTAGAAGCTATGTTGCATTCTCTTATCAAAAGAAATGTTGAAGGTAGTGCTTGTAGATCCAAGAACAGAACATTTTGTGAAAGCTTACTTCAAACTTAAACACGCTTCCACGTCACTCTTTGGCTGCTTACATGTTTTTTTTTTTTTTTTTGTTGGCTCATGGCTTACTAATTAATTAAGCAAGCTAACTTATCAACTTCAGATTGGGTTTATTTGTTATAAAGAAAATTTGAAAGGCGTCATTGGGTACTCCTTGTCATAATTAATTCACTCAGCTATTGAAGATAAGACTATCAAATTCCAATATTGTTATAAATCATTGCAAGGAAACTTCAAAATAAATACACCAAAAATAAACATGTGCTGCACATTTACATGAAAAATATAACATACCCTGGTTCTGTAACATATACAAGGCCACAATGGAAACGAAAATTTCTAGCCTGTCAAGGGAAAAAGAATATGTTTATTCATTAAATATATTCGCATTCATAATAGAAGATATTGCTATCAAACGGAATAAAGAAAACTGCCTTAACAGAAGCAACAGCAAACACCACCTATGCTCTAGTCGATAAAAAAAGCTTTTACAGAATTTTGTTTCAACTTTGATGAAAAAACAGTCCTTCAACCAAACACCATTTCAATTGTCATCCTGAGAAGGAAGTAGAATGGAAAGCCTAATTTCTTTCAATATATTATTACATGTAGTAACATTTTCTAGAGAAACTTCAAGAAACTCTTCCACCAATGTGTTTGACCACATGCAAACAATATCAGGATCGGACAAATGACGGATGTCAATACAGTAAAGAAGTAAAAGAAGACAAATATTAACCAAATGCCTGAGGAATTACATAAAAGCCCATGAAAACATGGCTCTAAATGAAGCACAACAAAGAAATAGAATATGAGCAGGACAGACCAAAAAAATTCCACCAATCTTAATGCAGCTTTAAAACAAGTTCATAAACAGAACACAGTGCAAAAATGAAACATGCAGATTTTTTTTTTTTTTTTATAAGAAACAGCATGCTATATTCATATCAAACAAAAAAAGTACAAAACAACAGAGGACCAGGAATCCTCCCCTACCAAACGAAATGCCTAATGCAACAACCCAAGTCATCTAACAGAACTCCAAACCATAGAGCCACTCAAAAAAAAACAAAAAACAAAAAACAAAAAGCAAAAAGCAAAAAGAAACATTAGAAAATTATATCCCAACCCCACAGCATATCAGAAAAGGAGGCATCAACAAAATCCTTAGTATTAAACACCCACAAAGCTACCGAGTATCTAATTCTTTTCCAAAACCTCCCCCGTCTCTTCCTCAACTTCATCAGATGAAACATGCAGAATTAAGTCACCCTCTTACGCATTGAATTTACAACTAGCAAATTCAGGATCAATCCAACGGAGAAAAATGTGTGGAAGGGGTGAAAGAAATTGTCTCTCAATACTAAGAAAATTTCAACCAACCTGTTGGTACGAAAGAGGGTGTACTACTGCACCACTTACTTCTAAGAAGTAATCAGGGGTTATTGAGTGTAGATCTTGCACCTGAAGTAGAAACAAAAGAAATCTTCAATGATGCAATTATTTAACAAGAAGAAACAAATGAAGACAAATAATTCCTGTAACTACAATATATATAGGCTTTGTAAAATAAGGACACCCGGTCCTGCTTCGACTAATAATCTAGTATAGCTGAGCAATTGGTGGTCATCCCTTAAACAGCATGTAATTCACAACATGTACGTGTTCCCTTTCCAAAGAGTGAAAAAGCAAGAACGACAAAGCAAGAAGTTTAATGGCAGCCCAAACTATAAAAAGAGGATAGAATAAACATCAAACCAGAGCAACTCTCACCGTAAAGTTTACAGTCAGCGATGTACCACCCCGTTCAATTTGTAATTCAACCTTCTGGTTTACACTATCATCAAGTAAAGTCTCCATTTTCAGGAATTGGGTAATCACCTGCATTGGGATTTCAACATGTCAATTATTTCATACAAAGTAAGATGTCAATGTTCAAAGTATTACAATTACTTAAATTTTATAAAGGCATAAGAACACAGAATCTTTATAGAAATCTAAGTCCAATACATGTTAATTGAACGTGGAACCACGGGAGAAGTCCAATCCAGTAGAGAATCCTCAAATGAACACAGCAATTGGAAAATCAAATGATTCCCTCCAAAATATTCCACATAAATTTCCGCAATATAGATTAATAGTTTCTACCATAAGTTTAAACTCCTAAGATAATAGCATTGTCTTTGATTACCATGAAATTCTTTTGGGAAAATTTCTCTGTGGAAAAGTGGAAGTGGAGTTAACTTTCACGCAATTATTTGCTGTAGAAGTAAATGCGGTAAAGGGAGTTCCTTTGTCTATGATTTTGTGGGATTTAATACTTATCCTTTCTTTATACATTGTTATGTCGAGACAATTACCATTCCTATTAAAAGGGGGGTATAGGAGAACTTTCCAAGGCTCTTTATGAATAAGAGAAAGTACTTTCTTCAGAAAAAACCTTGCGTGTATGTAATTTAAAATATTGATTAATAGTTCATGAGACTCGTCACTTTTGAACGAGCAAACAAGAAAAGCTACAGGTAGCCAGGTATGTCTCCTCAAATTTCTTCCACATTTTCAGGAGTTAACACTATCATGTCCTAAGGATTTATGGTGATGAAGTCAAAGGCCTGTACAAGTTTGGAAAGGATAAAAGTCCGAGTAACTCATTAAACATATCAATACATAAACTTTACAAACAAGATCAAAAGTGTAAATTCACAATTTTGCACTCAACTAAAGTTTACATTTCAATTTGGACCCAAAAATATATATATATAACTGCACAAAAAGAAAACAAATCTAATAGTTATTTCAGAATGATGCCTGAAAATAGTTGTCAACCATGAATACTATTGAGTCAATATAGCAGCTGAAGGTACAAGAAATTTACTGACCCCAACAAATATGCAAGAGAAAGAAAACACAAATAAAAAACTATAATACCAACAACAGTAGCAATCTATATCCTTACGGCATCCAGACAATCCACAAACAATGACTAAATTCCATAAGATCAACAGAACATAACATACTTCCCCATTCATGCGAACAAGAACATCACCAGGCTCCAAACACTTATAGGCTGGGCCGCCAGGCACCTGAAACAAAGTGTTTCATCATAAAGAGTCGTAGAAATATATAAAATAATAAAGAAACATTATTATTATAAATAGAGACCTCCATGCAGAACGATACTCACAACAGAATCAACAACAAGCATTCCAGTTTCACTGGATGGTGACGCGTGCCGTACCATCTTAAAAAACCAATAAGAAAAAGTTATCAAGGAGCCCAAATTGTTACAACAATTACCAAACAAATGAAAGAAACTTAAAAAATAATAATAATAAATACTAATAATAATAAAACATAGAAATGTTACCTGTTCCGTGTCACTTAATAAAAAAATAATAATGATAATAATGTTACCTGTTCCGTTTCACTTTGAAGACCAAGTCGACGTGTCTCATCAAATCCTTTATGTAGAAATGTTACCTATTTCATGTGTTAAAAACATGCCAATTCATGTATTATAAAAATGCCGCATCAAAAAACTAAAATTCTAAATATGAAAATCAAACTTAAAATTCAACAGACGCAGATGTCATACTACATGTCAGAATTATACCCATTGACGACACATCCTCTCCCGAATTATATAGTATTAATGAAAAAGACGACCACTTCACAACTTCATTGAGCAAGACCACTAGTTACAACCATCTGGAACTCAAAGTTAAATATTTTAAATGCACTTCCTATACAGATTTTGTTAAATATCAAGTTATCATATAAATTTACCCCATCATAAATATCTAGTTGAAGAATCATCAGCCCATTTGGCTCCACCAAGTAAGTGATTACGATCACAAGCCATACAGACTAAGAGAAAAAGGAAAAAAAAAATAAAACCACCCAGAAGAAATGTAGCACCATCATTAAGTCAAGTAGTCAAATCAAGTCTATTCTACTTGTTTATTCACAATTATGTTCTACTATATTACACTAGGGGAGGTCTTTTTGTATTTCTCTCCTTGTCATCTCACTGATACAACTACATATAGTTCTACAAAGTAATACAGGAGATAAATGAGTCTGAAAAGACGTTCTTCTCATTTCTCTGACCCCAGAATCAGAATTCCCAGATCTCTGGACTCCTCTCACACCTACCAAGGCATGTCTAGGTATCTGTTGACCATAGCAACATCTGTGACATGGTTTACACAGGCAAGAAAACATTCCGGGATTTACAGTTGATAACCTTGATAGGAAAAAAAAAGGGTCAACTGCGCACCATAACAGGACTTACTCACACTTTGGTTCACCACAAGGTCAATTTTTTTAGAAAGCTTTGAAGCATATGATCTTTTAAAAGAATAACGAGAACGACAAACCTGAAGCGTACCACGAGGTATGGAAACTGCTTCCCATTTATTACCAGAAAAATCTCGGCCTTTCTGTAGAAACTCCAACGACCTCACAACCTGCAGATTTAGTTGCACTCCTCAGTATTCAAAACTGAATTTCACTATTCCCAATAGAAAGAAAGAAATAAATGGTCAAGCAAGCAATAAAATAAGAATACACGCACTTGTTCTAATGGTAAAAAGAATGCTGATGCACTTGATGACTTGCTGCCAGCATTTAAAGCCACTGCCCTCCCTAGCCAATCAATCACAGGGGAACCACTTGAACCACCTTTAGTCCCTGATGCAGCCTATTATCAAAATAATTAAATGAAAACTAAAAAGGAAAAATTTGTTATGTGACAGATTGTTAACCAACAAACAAAATTATATTGAAGCATAATTTGACATTATTGGGAATACTTTTCCTGTATAAGAAACGCAAACTTCATTAAGAAGAGAAAACAACCAAAAGCTAAAGAAAATACTGTTCTCATTCTATGAAATGTGTTGGGACTTTCAGTATCATAAACTAAATCCTCGGTAAGATCATTTTGCAGCCTCTATTTAACACCAACATTCTACTCTTTTCAAAATGAAACACAAGTTGAGGTAGTGTATGACGAACATCTTGAAGTGGTGTATCGAATTCTGAGGTACTGAAGGAGTACTTCAGGAAAGTTGGTGAACACATAAGCATTGAGGTCCACCTCTGGTTATTGTACGTTTGTATAGGAAAAGGTTGGTGACATGGAGGAGTAACAACCAACCGGTTGTGGCCAGAAATAGTGCAGAGGCAGAATTTGGATCTATGGCACAAGGGATATGTGAACTATGCTCAAACAGTCAATGGATGAGCTCATTGTGAGCATCCATAAGTGTTTGTGTTAGAAATGGATGGGTAGCATTAAGGATTTCTCAAAATAAAGATGTTACTGTGTATTCATTTTCACACTTATTAAGGGGTGGGACATTATTTTCCAGTGATCAGTCTATTAGGGTTTGCTTATATAGGCCCTCTAGTTTTGTTTCTTTTTTCCTTTTCTGGTGGACCCCTTCTCCCCTTTTGTACTTTTTCACTTCTTTTTTTTTTTATATAAGAATCAAAGAAATTTCATTAACTGAAAAAAATTACAAATGAAGTTTCAAAATGGATGAGGAATCCATCTAAAAGAAAAGAAAACAGGAAAAAACAATCAACTCAAAACAACCAACACGAACAAAAAGGAAATCTTTCTCAAAACATCATCCCAGCTCAATAAGATCAAGGATAAAGGGAAGAGCTTAAAAGATGGATAGGTCGATGCCCATAACGAAGCTAGGAATTTAGCCTTTTCAAATAAATCTTCTGATAAGATCAAGAATAGAACACACCAACGAAGACAAATTGGAGTAGGAAGAGGAGTTGAATCTTTACTGAATGAAAGAATGAATTACAATGCAGTGATTCGAGGTACTGCTAGACCTCCCCTTTGCTCAGCCTCAGCCAAGACTCCCAAACAAGACTCAGATCATTCCCCCCTCCCTCTCAGTTCCCAAACCCCGCTTTTAATATCCCCTGCCTTCTCTAACTAATTCCCTCCCAACTAAAGTCCACAGTAAGTAACTAATAACATTCTTTCTAACAAACTACTAACTTCTCTAACAAACTAACAAGTTGCTATCATTACTCCCGCCCCAAACAAACACCTTGTCCTCAAGGTGTAAGTCAAGAAATTGCAGCTGAATGACTCCACTTTCTTCCAATATCGATGAGCTTGAATCTTGGAACGTCGAATGGAGCATTGACTCTAGGAGAGTCAAGCTCAGTGGTGATGAAGGCTACAACAGAGAGGCTTGGAACCATGAACTCGGTAGCGACGATCCCAACAACAATGGGTCCTAAAGCAGTGAACAAGAGAAAGGTTGGGTTTTGGAGTTGCAAACCCACCAATTTCAAGTCTGCCATTTGAAAACTTCCTAATTTGAACTCCAGGCACACCAATTTCTGCATACCCTGCCCCAAACTCACTGAAATTTCGAGGGTGAATTCCAATTGCACCAAAATTAGCCTCAATCTTGCTGGAATTAGGAAGTCCAGCCCCAACCTTGCTGAAGTTGCCCTGTCCGCACAGGCAGACCAAGACACAGCCCTAATTTCACCAGAATTCACGCCTAAATTCCCTATTCCGGCCCCAAACACGTTGGTGTTGCGAGGTGTTGCGAGGCCCATCCCCAATTGCGCGGGAATTAGCCCCAATTGCGCCAGAATCTCGGCATCCAATCCAAATTCGGCCGGAATTTCGGAACCCAGCCCAAATCTTGCCTGAATTCATGCTCAAAAACGCTGACCCAGTTCCAACCATGCCAGAAGGCGAAGACCCAGTCAAAATTGCTCCAAAATCAGCCCTAACGACTCTTGAATTCCAAGACCCAGACCAAAAATCGCGAGACCCAGCCCCCAAATTGCCAAAATCGGAACTTATTCCGCCGCCAAACATTGCCCAAGGATCTCCGTTCAGGTTTGATTCGCGTTGAACCCCTCCAAATTCCCTAGGTTCCACCGCCGGCCCTTTTCCACGGTCGATTCCCCCTCCGATCAACCCAACCCCACCGCCGACAACCCCCAACACCTCCCGGCGATCTTCTCTGGAAACCCTATGATCGGCCATTATCCTTCCTTCACGCCCAATTTCCTCAACTCTGGCCAACGACCCACGGCTTGCAACTTGACCCGAACCAAATTCCCCATCCCGATTTCTGGCGACGCTAGGGCCGATTTCCTTTGCCGGCATCTTAACTTTCCCCATCGCCAACAGAAGCTTCATTTGCTCTTCCATCAGTCGACGCAGATCAACGAAGTACTGGTTCATCTCTGCCCTAACATGTTGAATCTCCTTCCCCACCGACTCAAACCTCTCCTCCCACTTATTTCCGGCCATAACCAAGATCGATGCTCTGATACCAAATTGATAAGATCAAGAATAGAACACACCAACGAAGACAAATTGGAGTAGGAAGAAGAGTTGAATCTTTACTGAATGAAAGAATGAATTACAATGCAGTGATTCGAGGTACTGCTAGCCCTCCCCTTTGCTCAGCCTCAGCCAAGACTCCCAAACAAGACTCAGATCATTCCCCCCTCCCTCTCAGTTCCCAAACCCCCCTTTTAATATCCCCTGCCTTCTCTAACTAATTCCCTCCCAACTAAAGTCCACAGTAAGTAACTAATAACATTATTTCTAACAAACTACTAACTTCTCTAACAAACTAACAAGTTGCTATCATTCTTCAAAGACCATATCCTTGTCCTCGAAAAGCCTTCTATTAAGATCCAACCAGATTACCCAAAGACTAGCCAAGACCATAGCGCTGCAAATAGTTTGGGCTTTTTTGTTCCTACCAAAACCAAACCAATCCTAAAGCAGAATCAAGTTGCTACGAGCTAGAAAGGACCAATTCAATTCTGCAGCTCCCAAATATTTCCACCACATGCTCCTAGCCACATTACAATGAAGAGATACTCGTGACTCAGAGTTTCTTTGGCAATGTTCAGCAGCCCTCCAGCCTCTCTCCAATAACTTTGAATACATGCATGTTCCACATATTTATAGGATTCCTTCCTAAACCAATCCATCCCAATCTGCCTTCGATAACTTGATTTTTCCAATGGATTTTTTGGCTCCAAGGCTTCATAGTGACAAAGAAACTTCATGGCAATCCAAACCGCTTAGCCTGCAGAATTCTTTCCTTTTTCTTCGTATTCCGGCACCAAAGTATAGCTCTGTCAATGGCTAGTTGAGAGACCTGGACTTGTCGGTTTAAAAACCGACTTAAATCCCTATTTACTTCTGACCAAGAATGTTCCAAAACATCTCGAAAAATGACCATTGTTGTCTCCAAGTATCTGACTTATTCACTTAAGACCTTCGTCCTTTTTGATAGTGTTGATCTTCACATTCCTTGGTCGGAAAGGTTGTATGGTTTCGCTTTGCCCGATCGCTATCTGCTCCTTCGGATGTTGTGATTCCATCAGAGCTTGACTTTTAGCTTCTGCTCAATCGTGACTTCACTGCAATTCCGCCCTTGTTGCTTACTCAACCCCTCACACATCTTTTTAGTTTTTTGCTAGAACTACATCCAACCGACATTTCAGAAGCTTCCAGCCTTCTTTCCAATCATCACCTGGAATTATTATACTCCGAATCTCTCCTCCTTCAACTTTCGAAAACTTCAGATATTCCCCACGCGAATTCCTCAGAATTTCCATCAACAAAGTGAAGGATGAGTTTTTGAACTTGCAGATTGATGGAATCCTCAGCAAATCAACAGAAAAACAGAACAGAAAGATATTGATGTTATTCAGAAAACTATCAATCACTCTAACAATGGTGATATTCGAGAGATCACCGGCTCTCCTTTCTAACTCAATACAACTCAAGCTCAAACTCTCCTTATTTATAGCTACCACCTCCCCCCCACAACACACACAAGAACCTTGTCCTCAAGGTTCAAGTGACCTCTCTTTGCTCCGCCGTTTGTTCTCCCGGTGCTTCCTCAACCGTAACATCAGCTCCATCCCCATCATCTTCGTCCACCGCTGCAATGAGAACCTGCAGTTGGGGATTCTTACAAACATGGCCGAACCGCCATTTCTCCTCACACCGGAAGCATAAACCCCGTTCTCTCCTTCTCTGCATCTCAGCATCAAAAATTTTTTGTCTGAAACCTTCACTGCGCCGAGTGGACTAAGGTGAAACATTAGCTTGTTCCTTGTTGACCGACGTGTTGGACTGAAGTGAGCTGGCATGTGGCACCTCCAAAGCTCCCCTAGTGTTCCCTAAAAATTTCGGTGGTGTCCAGCTGGAACCATTCAAAGAACTTTCCCCCACCACCGACTTCTTTGGCCTATTATAATCCCTAGGAATTCCAGTTCCTTCCCCAGCCGGCCTATGTCTAAAAAATCGCCCCACTTGGGCCCGTTCAAGAGCCCAATTCTTTTCCTCAACCTTTTGGGCCAAGTCCATTAATTGATCAAGGGGTCGTAGGCTTCGCCATACGAACTTCAATTTTGATTTCCTCAGCTAGGCCGTTCGAGAAAGCTCCGATCAAGAACTCCTCGTCCGCCTCTCTCAAGCGAGCTGAAAGCAGCTCAAACTTCTCTCGAAATTCCGCCACCGACGATTCTTGTTGTAGGGCGATCAGAGCCTCGTAATGATTTTCAATTTGTGATGACCGGAATCTTTGTAACACAGATTCTTTGAAAGTCAGCCAATCCACGACACCGAATATGGATTCCATCCATTGGAACCAGTTCAAAGCTTTTCCTTCGAGTCCAATCACGGCCGCCGCCACTCGTTCCGCCACCTCCACGCCCTGAACCTGGAAGTACCGCTCTAGCCAAAATAACTAGCCATGTGGATCGTCGCCGTTAAAGATAGGAACTTCTATCCGGCGAAATCGCGAATCTCTGCCGCTCTGAGCACTCGGCGCCATTCCATATCCAAAACGAAACGCCGCCGCCGTGGCACCACCAACATCTCCACCGTTCGAAACCGAAGCCCTACCTCGCTCCGCCGGTGGGTTCTCAGCTTGTTCCGCCGGTACCAATGGAACTTCGTTGCCGTTCGAAGTGGAAGCCCTAGCTTGATCTGCTGGTGGATTCGCGTGGCCTCCTGTCCTCATCCAACCAGTAAGCTCCTTCATATACTCCTTCACAGCTCTGATGTCCTCCGAAAGTTGCCGACAATTCCTTTTGAGTTATCCAACGTCCGACTTGAGTTCTCCGACGGCTTTCTCAACAAATTCCAATCTTCCCTCCATGTTTCTTTCAGCTCTCCTAGCTACCATTCCCAGACGAAACTGCTCTGACACCAATTTGATGGAATCCTCAGCAAATCAACAGAAAAACGGAACAGAAAGATATTGATGTTATTCAGAAAACTATCAATCACTCTAACAATGGTGATATTCGAGAGATCACCGGCTCTCCTTTCTAACTCAAAAACTACCTAAGCTCTCAAACTCCCCTTATTTATTGGCTCCCCCCTGCCTAACCAACTAACCAAATTCTATTATCACTAAAGAAACTTTCTCAACAAGTTTATTCAGCGAACCAAGCGAACCAATCCACGTCAGCCACTAATCACTAACGTTTATTCCTCCTACTATAAACCAACAACATCTGGTTCTTATCACAGATGTAACCCTGATTGGCCTCAGAGTTGTAGATTATAACCATGGTGTCATTAATCCAGAACACAACATCTAAAGAAATGTTGATGTAAAATCTGAGTCCTGAGATTTTGTGTGGACTCCTCTATTCTAATTAAGCCTCCACCTTTTCCCAATGCTATTCTTAAAGATTTATAACTGATTCTAAATTCCTGATAGAAGCAAAAAAAAAGGGAGAAAAAGCCATGTTGAAAAAACTAAGAAATGTAAGTGACCCTTAGAATTCTAGAGAGAAGTGACTCTTCTATTAACGCAAGTTTCATGTTTCTTACCAAAATAATAATAATTATAATAATTACCGATAAATCTCAGTGAAAAATCAATCATGCTCCAGCAAAATAGAATTAGGATACATGTGTTGACTCCTACTATTAACGCTAGTAGTAAAGGCACTTACTTGCATATAGAACGTATTGAAGTCATTATAGCCATCCCTACATCAATTATAACACCGCCATCATTAACACAACAACAGTGAAAGAAAGTGTCAGAAGAGCAAAGACTAGATTAATTATGCATGTTACAAAATTTATTAAAAAAAAATATACAATATACATGTATATATGCATGTACCAAACTAACTAATAATGATATAAGTAGGCTTGGGCTAGTTGGGCACATATGAGATAACAGGAAGCAATTACTCTAAGGGCCCATTTAGAAGGTATACTCAAAATTTGAGTATTCAAGGATTGGAATACACGGATTGATCAAATCATGATTTGGGTTTCATTGGCGGAAACTTTGTGAGGGAGGAAATTTTGAAATTCAAACTCTATGTGAATTGCCAGCCCTAGTGCAGGCTTTGTTGTGGATAAGTTGGAAAGATTGATGAAAGAATTCCTATGGGATAATGAGGAGGGAGGAAAAGTGAGTAGTCTTGTGGCATGTGACATAATCAAGAATAGCAAAGAAAGGGGTGGATTTGGGATAGGAAATTTAAAGTAGAAGAACGAGGCTCTGTTAAGCATGTGGTTGTGGAGGTTTCAAAAATTAGTATAATGGCAAGGAAGCAAGATCAGTTCAAGTCTAATCTACTTCTCTCACTTCTGGTTTTTCCACACTTTGTAAAACATCTAAACCGAACTTTCTTTTTCACTCAAAGAACGTAGCTGGTATATGCACCACGCAATAGAGTCATGCTCCTTCCAATCACACCAAAGATTTATTCAAATTGAAAGAAAATCAATACTATTTAAGAGACGTGTATAGTAATCATCACTAGGCTTTGTAAAACTACGAAAATAAATGTCAAAAAAGGAATGCAAACAAACATTAACTTTGGTGAAGCTAAATACATACTTTTTGTAATGAGGAGCATCTCTATCCAAACGAGCAAGAGTACCAGCCAAGATTGATACCTGAAAAGCAGACATGAATCAACCAAAGAGCGATTATCAAAATGTAAGCAAACCGATATTACAATATACCAATCTTCTAAATTACAATAGATCCAGGAAAAAAATTAAGAAATATATAAGCAGCAGCAAAGGGGCAGAGAAAGGGGAGAACCTTTTAAAATCTAACATGCGAAAGGAAATCAAGAAGTAGAAATCATAATGGTACCCCTGATCACCTCCACTAGTATAGTCAACCCCAGAGACCTTTATATGTGTGTCCATGTGTGCATGGCTGTTACTGTCTTAGAGCAGCATATGTTTGTAATAATTTAACTACCACTTGCTTCTCATTGATATGTTATTGCCTCGTCTCGAATTGCTCCATTACAAATCTAATCATGATTACACTTCACCACCAATATGGTGTTACATATCAAAGTCCCACATGGATTATATATAAGATAATTGGCGGGTTCATAAGCCCTTGGATCGCCACCCCTTATAAGCTGGTTTTGCAGGGGTAAGTTCTACCAAATGGGTTCCTAACAATTGTTATCAAAGCCAGTCCACCACGGGGTGTTCAAGTCAAAGCCGTTGCATTATAGGATGGATTAAGATACATTAGTGGAGTCGTGAGTGAAGCCGCCGAAGAGGAAAAGACCACCACCAAGTCAGTATCGATAATGTGGACCATTGTTGATTTGGGCCCAAGCGCGGTGGCTTGTTACAAACCAACATGTCCTATGTAGGATTGAACGTAGTATGGACTTCGGTTCAACGATCGTTACTAAGGATGGGCCGACCTAGGAAAGGTTGCTATCCGATTAGAAGGCGGGATTCACAAAGTCACCGAACTGGGAAGATGGGCTGCCATGGACGGCAGTTGCAGAGCATAGTGGAATGTTACATAACAAAGCCCCATGTGGCTTAAATATAGGATACTTGGCGTGTTTATAAGGCCTTGGTTCCCATCTCCTTGCAACCCGGTTTTGCAAGGATAGTTCTACCTAATAGGTTCCTAACATAGGGGTCAAAAGTGGAGAAGTGAGTCTTTGATTTCTTCGTACTGCCAAGAACAAACAAAGGCGTAGTGGAGATGATGCATCTTCATTTACACATCCAGTTCTGAAAAATGAAGGGTCCTCAATACCAACCAACACAATCAATTGATCACGGGAGCAACTTTAGCATAACAAAGCTTTGATTAATTGCCTAAATATAGTCTGCCAATGAAACCCATGCGTTATGCACAAGTTATAGCGAGTATAACTAATGAAATAGGATTCACAAAAATAATGCTCAGTAGGACTCAGAACTCGAAATGAGTATGTCATATTGTGATGTAGTACACGCATGCCCACAAGCAACAATTTCCAATTCTAAAGTTCCTTTTTTTTAATAAAATGAAGGATTGAACCCGTGCCCTCCCTAACTCAAGTCCCAACCCACCCTACCCAAGTCGTTTCACCTATTCGTCATTGGCAATTCTAGAGTTCCTTTTCAATGTTTCTTAAATCTTCAATTTTTATTGACTCCCTTTTTTTTTTTTTTTGTAATTTGCTAAGTTTTTTTTTTTTCCTATTGTTTAGTTTCCCATTTCTTGCCTAGATTTGTCTATTTAAATTCCAAAATTCTCCGAGTTGAGTTCTATTTTAAATAACATCACCAAAGTTTAAGATAAACTACTTTGAGTGTTCTTTCAATTTCATGTTTATTTCAAATGCAATTCCAATGCGTCAAAATTGACATCAAAGCTCCTTAAATAATAATATTAATAATAATAAAAAGAAAGAAATGATATTGACGTAAGGATTTCCACCTAGGCTAATGCCCAACAATAGTGATAGTGACTAGTGAGAGACAGACGGCCGACAATGAAGGTAGGTTCAAAAACACTGGGCAACGATTTAATGAAACACCTTGTACCATACATCAGAGGCCAGTTGCAATGGTTATTGGAGTTGGAGGCAGACCTAGGGGATGGCAACGAAACCTAGCTGTGAACATCAAAACGACAACCACGCATGCCAAACAATGACCACGGGGGGCCAGAAGACCCAAAACTAGTTGCATGGCTCCCCAAAGCATATCGCGCGTACCTAAACCCTAGGGTTCCAACGCATGACACCCAAACCCTCTAGTTTTACTAGCGACTGAACAGCGGCTTCCTTAGTCAGCAAGTCGACAATGAAGCCATATCCACTAACAACGATGGCCAGCACGTGGCAAAAATATTTTGCGACCTACAGGTTCCAACGCAACAGAAAAAAGTTTTTACATGGGTTTCACAGCAGTGCTCGACTTCCCAAGCATCGGCAATGAGTTCCAACGAGGGGGCACCCAAGAGTTGGCAATGACTCATCCGACAAAGAAGAAAACAGTGTGCACTTTAATCGAAACTATGGGGATGGTCCAGATGTGCCAAAAATCTACATATATCCATCAACGGCACCCAAACCAATTGCAATTGTCTAAGACGACTCGTCTGACAAAGAATATGACATGATGTCCGCATTATGTCCACCACTAGAGGTGATGGACGCAGGAAAAACAGAGCATCACACTGCAAGAGCTGAAAAATAGCTTGCCATGATGCCGTCCATGCGAAAAGTGAAAAAAAAAAAAAAAAACAAACATTGACTGTGTCTAGTCCAAGTTTTTCAAATCTGCCCCATTGTCAAGTGAGTAAAATAGAAGATGATAATGCACAAAGGTGAGATACTGAAGGGCTTGAGCAAAAAAAAAAAAAAAAAAAAAAAAAAAAAAAAAAACCACCCCATTCCTATCTTATCTAATTCCTAAAGGTAAAAGTTCATGGAAACATAGAAATCATGAAGAGATGATAAAAAAATGTAATCAACAGCAGAAAGGAAGAAAAAAGTATATATTCACAAATGCATACATAATTATATATATATATATATATATATGTATGTATGTATGTAAGTATGTATGTATGCATGCATTATACGTGCTAATGTGCATGTATCTACTCTACGTATTGATTTATGTATGTATACGTAAACAGTAAACGATGTATACCTTCTCACCACTATCATTACCAACAACTCTTATTTCCAGTCCAACACAAGCAGCCTCAGGGGCAAGAGGAATCTCTTCGTAGTTAAGAAATTGTATTGCCCCTGGATCATAATGGAAGAAACCAAAATCATGGACCTAACAAAAATTGCACATAAAGTTAGGGATGTGCAGATAGTTTTTAAAAATTTATCTTATTCAGATAGAACTAGAAATATCAGACTCACTGGATCCCTGTATATCGGATAAACTGGAATTTCTTCACGGTTTACAAACATAGCTTCTGCTACTACGGGACCTACAAAACAAAACCACGTAGTAATAGTAGTGGTAGTAGTAGCAGTAATAACAGTAATAATAACAGTAATAATAAAAATAATAATAAAACAAAAATCAGGAAAAAGAATATGACAACATTCAATTCAAATAAAGTGATGATTTTGAATGGAATTGAAAAAGATAGGATAGGATACCAGGCTTTACGACGTGGCGATTGGTGAGGATGATCCCACGGCGCTTGTCGACGACGAAGCCGGTGGCGTAGCTGGCGGCGGCGGACTCGGTGTCGAATGCCCGGCAGGCGGTGGTCCGAAGAACGACGACGGCGGGAACGACGTTGCTGAGAGCCTTCCTCCAATCCTCGGCGGTGGCGACGCTTTCACGGAAGGGAGGATCGATGTCCATACACAGATCGTCTTTCACGGCGGATTCCATTACCGCCGCCTCCGAGCCAAGCCTCTCCAGCTGATCCCCCATCTTCAAACTCACCAACCACACACACACAGAGAGAAAGGATTGATTTTCTAAGTGGAGACGAATAGAGGAGGATTTTCTAGGTTTTTGGTGTTCGATGAATTTGGGGAAATGTTCGTTTACTTATTCGAGACTTCGAGTCAAGCGCTTCAGTCCCCGCTTCTAATTGCTTACAGTTTCTTTTTCTTTTTTTCTTTTTTTGGGGTTTAAATTCTAATGGTTTACAGTTGTCAAGACAAGTGTTATATAAAATGGAGTTTTTTTGTTTCTTTTTTGCTCAATTTTCAGTTTTGTTAGATTTGTCCCGTCTCATTGAGAGTTATACAAATCGAAGTTGAGTTAGAGTTGAGATGGTCAAAGCTAAAACCGCAACGATGACTAGAGTTGGGCTGAGAGCCTGGGAACAACATCATAGTTGTGGTCATGCAAGGTATGATGACATCAAACGTTGTTACCCAATATGCTAATTGATTAGTCGCGAAAATTTAAGAAGAAATTGATTGAAAAATCAATATAAAAGTATTTGATTAACAATTAATTATAACATTTTCTTAAAAAAAATAAAAATAAATTCTCATAATAATAAGGATTATTCCCACTAATGTCTATTTAATACTTTTTTTATTATCCTTCTTTAGATAAAACTTGAGGTCAGAAAACAGTGATAAGAGTACATTTTGACATTTTATATCTTAAAAATTAACTTCAAATATAAAACTTGAGGTCAGAAAACAGGATTATTCCCACTAATGTCTACTACATGTTTTAAATGTGGATTGAAATATGCCAGAGGACATAAACTATTATAAAAAATGTCACAAAACTTAAATAATGTCATTATAATATATTTTGTAATAATTTTAGTACCCATGATAAAAGTCAATCAAACCTTAAAAATTATGGTATATTGTCTAAATATCTCTTATATCTAAGGGTCTTTTCTTTCAGACCCTTAGATATAAGAGATATTTAGACAATATAATTATTAACTGTGCTGAAGTAATTTTTTCCTTCATTGTCAAATTGTTTTCTTTACTTTTACCAATTTTCATATTTTCCAACTTAAATTTTAATATTCATGTTGTTTTTTTTTTCCTTCATTGTCATACTCTAAAAAAGATCTTTCATTTTTGTAAAATACTATTATGTCTTTAAGCAAGTGAAAGAGACTTTAGGTATAAATATGAAAGGTGGCCAAAATATTAGGAAAAAAAAAGTTAAGGGTTATGATAATCACAAACTTAATTATTAATTTTTAACTGTGCTGAAGTAATTGAATAGAGCACTCAACAATAAATATAATATAATATAATATAAATACAAATAAATGAAAACAAGAGATAACAGCAATAATAAAGAATTTACAAATTAACACGTTAGATAGAGAAACCATTGACATATCAGAAAATAGGATTTGGGCGCTTGGCTAATTAGTGCTTGTTTTCGTAAATCATTGAAAGTGTAAAAAAACTAATTATTTGAATTGAAAAATAAAGTGATTGCAGTCAAATCTCCAAAGGACTTGTCAGTGAATCTTAACAAGTTGTATGCAAATCCTCCAGAAAAGGTCCCAATGATTGGTCCGACGATATAAACCCACAATCCTTCGTAAACATGAATCACAACGGCAGGCCCTATGCTCCTTGCAGGATTCATTGATGCTCCTGAAATTGGCCTGCATAATTGCATATATTCAATTATTTTTATTTTGATCTTTTTTTTAATAACCAATTAATTATGGAGCTGTTTAATTAGTATAGTAACAGAAATAATACAGTTTAATATATATATATGTTCAGTAAAAAAATTATACCCACCCAGCAACAAAGACATTTAGTAGTATGGTCATTCCAACTGCAATCCCTCCTAGTTCACCGTTCTGTCAAACCAATTAAACAAATTTTAATTAGCATTGTAAATAGCCTAATTTCATAAACCTCTTATGTTTTCAATACAATATATTTCTTAATACAGAATAATTAACAAAGGTTATATGTATGTATATATATATGCATAATATAATTAATTGTGACCACAAAGAAAGCGTTAACTTTAATTTGTTGTTTGTGTGTATTTGGAATTATCATTTCGTTTGCCAAGAGGCCAAGTTGTATAAATTAAGTATCGCTTTTCTTTGAAAATACTTGTATTAATGCCCCTCTCTCTTTCTCAAATTAAGGAAAATAATGCTGGTGTCTGCAAGTTATAATAATTATATATATTATATAGATAATTATACTTCCAGAAAGTAAATAACATTAAAGTGCAACACTGATCAGTTGATGAGTGCATGCATGAATATATATATATATATATAAATACCGCTCTATTATCCGTGGCAACTGCAGAGACGACGAACATTAAGAGAAATGAAATAATAATTTCAGCAAATAAGGACTGGCCACTCGATCCGACTGGAACAGTTCCAAAATAAGCATCGGGAGTTATGTCAAGCAACAAAGCAAGACTTTCACTGGCAAGAATTGATCCCAAAACTTGAGCTCCAACGTACAGAGGAACCTACATTGTAGACAAATATGGAAACATTCATATATAAAAATAAAAAATAAAAAATAAAATCATTGCATTACTTTTACTATAATTAATACCATTAAAGTTTAATTAAGAAAAAGGCTCACCTGACGATAGGGGAATCGACGAAAAATAGCGAAAGTGATGGTGACAGCGGGGTTAAAGTGTGCACCAGAAACATGGCCAACAGAATAAATCATAACGGTGACAATTAGACCCCATGTCACACATACTCCAGGAAATGTGACCGAACCATAGATTTTGTTAACAGCCACTGCACCACACCCAGCAAATACCACAAAGTATGTGCCAATCGCCTCTGCTATTATCTACAATTATAATGTACTAACACGTGATTATCACATTAATTGTCAAATTTAATTTTACGTCCTCTTGCTATATAGGTCTAAAGGTCCGTTTAGTTCGCTGATTTGAGTTTTTAATTTGAGTTTAAATGTGATTTTATGTGAGAGCTTTTTACTGTAACAAAAAAGTTAAATGCGACTGTTTCTGAGAGTTTTTTACTGTAACAAAACTCGAAGGGTGAAATGAATGGAGTCTAGATATATAGAGATGTATATGTATATATATCAGCGTATCGCTATATGTACTATAATTAACAGTTCAGACTGACCTTTTGTGTGATGGCTACTGCAGAAGACGACGAACAAAAACCAGTGAAACAGGCACATTTCGAGACTCTGTGGGCGGTCCCTTCTTCAAGCTTTGAAACTTGTTCTTCCATTTTGCCAACATTAGATTCCGTTGTCATTTTTGGGATTAAAATGCAAAGGAACGTGATCAGGATATTATGAAGAGATGTACGCCGAGTAGAGTGGAAATTGTTAGCTGATCTTTTGACTCAAGTGGTTATTTTTTGGGATTTTTAAGGATAGTGTTAGGTACTTTTCTTTTTTATATAGATTTTTTTTTTTTTTTTTTGACTTTGAAATCCGAAGTTACTTTAAAGAAAAAGTTAAATGTTATTCGCTAGGAGAAATTTGCTAGTTTTAATAAGATGATATCGGCTTGCATGTGTAAATTGTATTATACAGCTCTTATATTTAACCTTGTTTATTTATGAGCCAATAAAAAAAAAAAAACAGTTTTTCGGTGGAAGAAATAAAGAAATAGTTGTCTTGTCACCCAGCATTAGTATCTTTCTTGCTCCAAATAATATTTTTCATTTTTGGCCTTTGGGTAATTAATGCGAATTATTCGGCAAGGAAACAAAATTAATGCAAATTATTTGGCAAGAGAGAAAAAGAAAAATAACTTTGAGTGATCGTGGCACGGGGTATGGAAAAATTACACTACCAATAGAGTGGAACACGACGTCAAATTTGTTCCCGTTTAGTTTGTTAGTTTGAATTGTTTTGATTTAAATTTTTTTTATTTGGACAAAAAAATCCGAGTGGTTTGATTTAAACAATAGTCTGAACTAGTATTTAGATGTGTCTTTAAATTTTTAATTCAAGCTGAAAATATAATATAAAATAACGCTTAAATGAGTACTGTAAATTGTAAATCTAAACAGAACTTGCGTTTAAATTGTAAACAACTCTAACTTTGAATTTGGTGGTAATTCTGTTAAAATAAATTTTAAGAATAAAAAAATTGACACCCATATTGATATTGCATAAAAATAAAAGAACACCCATATATTTTTTTGGGTAATGGAACATCTATATTATTAAAAAAAAGTTTTCTTTTTTCTACTTAATAAAAAAATTTGATAACATGAGGTTTCTTTTTATTTAAAAAGTAAATTATCATGAGGTTTCTTTTTAAAGAGAATTCCTCATGATAATTTATTTTTAAATTCGACAGAAGAATTCTCTTTAAAATTAGAAAAGCTATAGAGAGATTTGGAATGCATGAGACACTAGTAATTGGATTGAATTGTATGTAATTTTTAAAAACCGACCTTAGTGTTAGTTTATCAATCCATCCTAAAAGTTTAAATTAATAGGAGGTGGACTAATAATAGTTTTATATTTTAACACTCCCCCTCACGTGTGGGCTGGACAATGAGTAATTGTGTGGGTAAATTAATTAGAAAGTCCAATACGTGAATATTTAAGCCCAAAATATATTAAAGATTCAACACATGATGACAATTTAAATGGGGATAAAGAGTGTAATTACGAAAGTTTGAACTTAAGATCTCTCGCTCTTATATCATGTTAGTTTATCAATTTATCCCAAAAATTTTAACTAAGAGGATGTGAGCCAATAATAGTTTTATATTTAACACTTAGGATGTGAGCTAATAATAGTTTTATATTTAACACTTAGATTGAATTGGTTGTTATATGACCAAAATAAATTAGATTAGATTAGATTAGATTGAATGAACACGTCCAACCCTACCTCCCTCCAAACACGTTTAGGAGTAGTTGTTTTGAAGTAAATTGAGGGGCTTCGGTAGTTGGATTCCGAGGATAAGATTAATAAATTGAGGGGCATCCATTAGAATCCAATTCAAAATGATTATTATACTCATAGTGTGCCCCTGCTAGACTGCTAGTGCATAGGGCCGCCGTCCTTAACCGGTGTGTTGGAGGGCTAATAGTTTATGCATTATGCTGACTTATCTATATCCCTTTGGAATTTTGGTTCCCAAATAGACGAATGCAACGAGTTTTTACGATCGCACTCCAACAAAACTACCGTCCGTCTCCACACTTGTCTCTCTCTCTCTCTCTCTTCCTGTCGTTTTCATACAAGTTCGTCTCCTGAATTTTTCATATTTTTTTGCTAACAAATTTTCATTCTTCCCTTCCCAAATAGTAAATACAGAATTTTCCAATGTTTAACTTGTTCTCTGCGCAGTCTTCACTGAGAAATCACGAGATTCCGAATATGCCTTTGACAAAACCAAACAAACCATTCCTCAGCCGACAACATGAGAATTTTGAATCCCAAAATAATATTAGTAGGCAAATATCAAATCAGCATATACCAAATCAATCAATCAATCTTGTTGGTAATTGATTTTGATTAGTTACAGCTCCATAGCGTTAGGTCTGTTTTTCTAACAGCATTGAAAAAGATAGATCAAGCATGCTGTCGTCATTGAATGGTGTTTAGGGAGTAACCATAACACATCCACGGAAAAGTATTTCTTGTGTTCTCTAATAGTTTAAGAAATCAACCGTTTGATCCTTCAAATTTATTCAAACTGAATGTACCATTCACAAACACCGGGAAATAATCCAAAATGTTCAATAAATACATAGAAAAACTGCAGTTTACTATTCAGTTTGTGGCATTTTGACAGAAAAGAAGTAAATCACAAATGGTCAATAAATTGGCAGATTAGGTGGAACCCCAACAACTGACCATTGTTTAGAATAAGAACATGAAGAAGAAAATATTAAGTTACTATGGACCCCAAAGTTCAGTTTTTTTCTTAGTTATGGTCAAATTCATGTTCGGTTAACTTATAGAACATCAATTTATTTGACTTACAGAAATCGAATTGATCCATAAATTCCTCTTCTGACTTTATTTATTTATTTATTTATAATTAATCCTATCAAATATTCTGCAAGCGTGCGTCTCACAAAGTGATTCTTAAACTTGATTCTTCATAGATAAACAGAAATCAGCAACTATGCATCATGTTCGAGATGCTCGTGTAATTGTGGACTTTCTATTGGTTTGTACAGCAGCTTCAATCCAAAATGAGACACAGAAACCAGGTTAATGAAAGAGGGGGGATATCTACCCTCATTAAATTTTCACAATTTGATACAAACAGTTTCTTTACAAACCAAGTAATACAACATATTCCACCTCCTACAACTTCCACTTTATTGACAATTACCAGTCACTCGACACCACCACACAGGCCTGGACTGGCATTTCTTTCACTATATATCCTTTTTGTTTTCGATATCCTTTCTTCTTTTTTGGGTCCTGGATTTCTACTATAAGAGAAGACATTTATCTCACAAAACAACATGTAAGAGAAGGAAGACAAAGCTAATAAAACAAAACAGTCACTTTGAAGAAACTTCAGAAGCACAACTACTAGTGATTGGCAGATCAGATGGTGATGTGCATACCAGAGCCCTTCGCTGTAGATGTCTCAAGCTTTGCTCCATGCTAACTTGCACCATGTCAGCAAGCATCTTCTTTGCTTTACTTGACTGCTCATCTCCATCGATCTGCGAGATTATGTTGCACACTATGTTTTCTAGAGTGTCTGGCTGCAGTTCAGATCTCGGGTATGGCGAGTCCCTCAGCAACCGCAGCAGTGTTTGTGCTTTTGCCTGAGACTTTGGCGTTCCTTGCACAGTTAGCTCGAGTAGTCCAGGGATCACGCCTTCTTTAAGAATTGGTTCTCGATATCTACATCGGTCACTCTGACACATCGTTAGTAGCGCGCCGACAGCATGTTCCCGGCTCTGGAGGGGGCCATTTTCTAGCACTTCAACTACCGCAAGCACTCCGCCATCTTCGGATGTCAAGGCAGTTCTGCCCTCATCAAACTCCACCAGGGATTCTATCAAAGCACAGCACTTTTCAGCCGTCTTTGAAGACTTTTTACAGCTTATAAGCAAATCAACGATAGATGCAATCGGTTTCATTTCAAGAATGACGTTAAGGTTGTTGGGATATGTCGAGAGATTCGAAAGAGCCATTACAGCATCAATCTTGGCTTGTGAGCTCCCATGTCTAAGGGTTTGAACAAGAAGGGGAATCGCACCGGAAGCACCTATGATTGGCTTGTTGTTGGCGGAAGCAGATAGAGTAAGTAAAGAAGCAGTTGCATATTCCTGTAGATTTGAATTCTCGGATGTGAGGAAACTAATTATCGGTTCTAAAGCACCAGCTTCCACAATCTTGGCCTTGTTCCTAAAAAAGTTAAAAGAGAGAGAAAATACCATTAAAAACTTCCGAATAGACAAGCAACTAGTAAGATAAAAAAAAACAACAACAACAACAACTCAGATGAAGAAGAAAAACTAAACCCAAAAACAGGTTCAGTAAAAGATTTGTTCTAATCAAATCAGAAACTCGGAACCGAATCCTCGCGCACTAAAGTGATTGGAGAGGGGCTATTTCGAAATTGTGGAGCCCGTAAAACCCAATGGACCGCCAAGAAACCAACCCTCACAAGAATTCCTCCAAAATCACATTTGTTACAATTAAGCACCATAGACAATGACACAACTCCCTGACACTAATTAATTCTTTTATTCCAAGCAAAAAGCAAATAAATCTCTCATAAACTCAGTCGTGTTATTTCAGCCCTGAATTATCCCAGTTAATATGTTTAATTTGACTGGTTACAAATAAAAACACAATAAACCTGTAGATTTAGATTCTCGAAGGAAAGAAACCAGAAGAAAAAGATAACCATACCATTACCCAACAACCTAAAAGGTAAAAAGAACAGAGGGAATAAGAACAATTCTTCATTTAGAAGGCAAGTCTAGATCTCTTCACGATTCAGAATGCTTTACTTCAAAAACACGATTAAAGAAAAGAAAAAAAAAGAAAGGGGGGGCAAAGTAATGAAAAGGAGAACGGATTGAGAAGCAAAGAGCATGTAAACCTATCAACCACAAATAAGGCACAAAAATTTCTAGTTTCTTTGTTGGGTAATTGGCCTTTTTTTTTTTTTTTTTTTTTTTTTTGCGTCCCCAAAGAGAAAATTTTCTTTTGCGTCACCAAAGAGAAAATCAACGTTCGTTTCCAGTCAGACTCAGAGTAACCGAAAATCAAATACCTAACTTCCTTTCAGAGAAGGTCAAGTTTTTTAGCTCAATTTCAACTTTTGCTACCTGAACTTTGATATTTTTTCTCGGCAGCCAAACTACTAATAGTCTTCTTATCGCAGATTTTCTAGACCCAAAACTCGCAAAGAATCTGTTCAAAAGAAAGCAGAACCATGAAATTATTTTTCCAAAGTCATCTTCGGAACTTTTTTCATTGGCTGGTGGATAATCCAGGGAATTATAAAAAAAAAAAAGCAATTAAAATCTCGTCTTACTGATAATTGTAAAGAAGAAGAATTCAAAAGTCCTTTTATTTTTCTTTCAAGTCTCCAAATTTTCTCGTCAGCCAATCAAATTAAAAAAAAAAAAAAGTCGGAGAATAAAGAAGAGAATCTGCGAGCACTATACGAGCTTTACAGTTTAATTAATTAGTTTTTTTTTTAAATTAATTCTTCTAGAATTTGAGGAATCCAAGAACAAATACTAAAAAAAAAATTCACAAAAACAATCTCGGATTGCGAGAAAGAAAAAAAAAAGTAATTCCACAAACTCCAAGAAAAACTTTCCAAGAAGCTTGACATATGATGATATGACTCGCCAACGCCATGAAATATTCTTTCCAATAACAAAAAAAAACATATTAAAAAAATTAAAAGAGAGAGAGAGAGAGAAGAGGGTAAGCGTACATACATTTCGTCCCGAACAGCGAGGTTGAGGAGAGCAAGGAGAGCGGACTCGTTGGCCTCGGGCGAGTCAGGGACTCGGAGCATGGCGGTGAGTTGAACGACCGAGTCGGAGAGCAAGCGACGGCACCTCTGAGAGGTCTTGGTGAGGCGTCGGATTTCTCTGGCGCCCTCCAGCTTCGAATCAAGGTCGTCGGATTGGACGAGGACTAGGGCCCGCCGTACAACCGAGATTGAGGACATCGTCGTTTCGGCTGCCTTGGAATTTGTGTCGGTGGTGGTGGCCATCGCTTGCCCTTCCACAGAAGAAGAAGAAGAAGAAGAAGAAGAAGAAGAGCTGTAGTGGTCCATGGAATTGGAATCACCACCACCACCACCACAACTCAGAACAAGAAGAAGAGGAGGAAAGAAGAAGAAGAAGAAGAAGAAGAAGAGTTGGTGAGAGAGAGGAAAAATCTATAATCTTTCTTTCTTTCTATAAAATCCATCCATCAAAGAAAGAAAGAGAAACAGAAAGAGAGAGAGAGAGAGAAAGAGGTGGCGAGGTGGGGTTGGATTGAAGCAACAATTAAATAAAGTAAAAATTAAAATAAATTAGAAAAGCCCTTAAATTAATAAGAGGAGAGGAAAGAAAAGAAAATAAAGGGAGGGGGGTATGGGGTTTGTGTACGTGTGACTATGATCGTTTCTTTCATTTTTTTTAATTATTTCATAATTCTATTTTTTTATATTTTTCTTTTGTGGTTTTGATTTTATTTTTCTTTATAATTGAACGGTTGAAAATGCTAATATTTTTTTCCTAGTAAACATTTTAAATTTGAATTCCATTCAAACAATTTCTATATTTAGATAAAAAAATATGATATATTTAGGATCCGTTTAGGTCGTTGATTCATGTTTTTAATTCGAGTTGAGATATGACTTTATGTAAAAACTTTTTACTGTAGTAAAAAAGTTAGATGTGACTGTTTCTGAGAGCTTTTTATTGCAGTAAAACTCAAATCGGTGAAATGAACGGGACTTTAGGTTTTCTCTCATGGCTTTTCTATGTGGATTGATTTTTACCACAATACCTAAAATTATGACAAAAAATAACACGATCAGATTTATACACCGATCAAAATGCCCGTAACTAAATTAAGGTTTTTTTTTCCTCTGCCACTTGCGTCGTTCTCTCCCTCTAACTCTCTCTAACCATAGTTGCATACATCTTCAACGGCGGCGCGGTGCGCATCTACTCCTCACGGTGCGAGACCTGATCTTCTCCTTACAAAACAACGCGAATCTTCTCCTCACGGAGATGGCAAGTCGAGGATCAGGTAGCGAAAGTGCAACTAGTGTAGATCTCCGATAACGACTAGGTGATGACGGGAATCCAAAACCACCTCTCTCCGTCACCGCTGCATCAGGCATCTCCAAGCGAGATTTGTGAGACAAATTTGCGACGTCCACCATCATCGGTTGCTGCGAATATCTGAATGTTCTGTCGTCGTGCTACATCATCTTGGATACCCACCGGTATCTGGTCTCTAGGTGGATATCGACAGTTATTGATATGTAATTGGCCGATATCAGAATAGTCTCGATTACCGACAATTGTTTGATGATTACTACCACTGACACTGACAGTTGTCCACCAAATATTGGTAAAACTTTAAGTCTGACAACCTCATCAAATTTAACTTTTTTTAGCGTGTAACAGTAATGTTTGTTTATATGTGTAAATTTTTGTGTATCAATTTTACATTTATTGGACAATACTTTTTAAATATTATACCAAAATAAAATGAGTGTTACACGCACGTTAAAAATATATATTACACGTTCTTGATTAGTCCGATTGTTAAATTTAAGATAATTTAAAAATATATATGTAGATATTTATAAGAAATTATGTCATACAATCATAGTACAAGTATGACATGTTAAATTAAGGTAAATAAAACACTTATTTTATATAACAATGCCTTTAAATCATATAATAACAAAAACTTTTTTAATTGTGCCAGTTTACACCTGTAACGAATCATTATCATTATTGTACACAAAAGTTCTTTTTGAACCCAAACTAAAATTATTTCTTAAGGAAATAATGCCAAGATCAACCCAAAAGAGTGTTTTTTTTTTTTTTTAAACAAGTCAAGTCTTGTGGTTGTGACCAAAAAAAATTTTCGAAGGTTAAAGATCTTTTGATTAGTAAAAAAAAAAATCTTTTTATAAGGTCATCCAAGCACTCATAAGAACATTTTTTGAATCTAATAAGCCAAAGATAATGACAAATAAGCCCCAAATGTCCTATCACACTCTAACCTCAACATGTTACCCTTCATAAAGGATCAAGACAGATACAAAATTATATGATTAGACACGTGTTCTATATTGTATGAATACCAATATTCGTGAGATGCTCATCTATCATAAGTTAGGGTTAGTTGAGATGTATGAAATGGTTCTTATGGTTTCGCAAAGATTTTATGGGGTTTTTTAATCAGACAGTTTTTGAATTTGATTTTTTTTTTGGTTGTTTCTTCTTCTTCTCCTTCTCCTTCTTCTTTCTTTTTAAGTAAAGATTATTTTTTTTATTTAACAAGAAGGATCTTTTATATATGATGTTTGGATAATTATAAAAATTCCCCCTAAATTATATTCCTTTAACACTTGACCCTATGAAGTTTAAAATGTAACATTCGTTATCCTTGAACAATAAAATGTTAACAAAAAAGCCCTTTCAATTAGGTTTTTAACTGAAATTATCATTTAATTTGTTATTTTGAGGGTATTTTTATAATTCTATAGTTTAAACTTTAATTTGAATTTAAAACTAATTTAAATATTTAAAATAAAACTTCATAAGTTCTTTTATTTTACAAAAAAAGATTTATAAAATTTTTAACTTACATTAAGTTAATAATGGATGTTTCACATTTAAAAGTTTAAATTTTAATTAGTTTTAAATTCAAACTAAATATTAAACTATAGAGTTACTAAAATACTAAAAAATAACAAATTAAATGTCAATTTCCGTTAAAAATCTAACAGAGTGGGCTTTTTTGCTAACATTTCATTATTCATGTGGGGATGAATGTTACGTTTTAAAATTTAGGAAGTAAAGTATTATAAGAGGTGTAGGTCAGAGAGAATTTTTGTAATTATTTTTATATGTTTTCACAAAGATTATATGGGGTTTTCTACAGTTTTTGAATTTGAGTTTTGTTTTTTTTTTGTTGTTGTTGTTGTTTCTTCTTCTCCTCTCTTTTTAAATAAATATGAATTTTTTTTTTAAATTTTACAAGAAGGATATTCTTTTATATGATGTTTTTTAAATGGTTTCGCAAGGATCTTTTTCTCATTCTGTTTAATTGGTGTACATGTGACTTTTTATTGGCTAGCAGTAGTTTATTTAATCATAATGGCAAAATTTTATTTTGTTGATTTGCTACAAGTAAAGAGGAAACATTTATGGTTGTTTGCCTGATCAGATTCAAACTAGGATTGGGATTATTTAGCCAACAGCAATAGACACCCGCTTCATCGACGTTGTGTTCTCCTGATAATACACGTGGCAAATGGGTCAAAAAAAAAGTTAGATAATAGCTTGATTATCTAATATTATAATTACATGTCTTTGCCATCATCTCTTTTCAATTCTCATTTTGCTCAAAGTTGGATCCCTTTTTGCCTAAATACCCAGAAACTTAAAATGGCCATGGATGAGCATGTTTGAAAGTCCTTTTATAAGGACATCTTGAACCGACCATCGAGTGGAATTCAAACAAAAATCAAAATTCTTGTAAGTAGAGACCCATTGTTTTTCTGGAAAAATAATAATTTCTTAGACAAAATACTCAATAATCAGATTGATACGATTAACATGATTAATAAACAAGTTTGGGATAGGGTTGACCTTCTTACACGAAGCATCCGAATCGACACGATTAAGTATATGTATTATTTGTAAATTAATTATATATGATAAAAATTTATATGATGTATTAAATACAAATAATATGAATTTTAAAATTTTTAAATAGATTTTGATTGTTTTGTTAAAAAAAAGATAAATAGAGCAATAAAATTATTAAACGTGTCATAATCGTGTTAAATAACTTCTAATTATATTAATTATTTATTTAATGTATTACTTTAAATGAGTTACGTGGATTGACACGATTAATATAAATAATAAACAGGTTATATTTGAATTAATAATTTTAACATATTTGTTGTGTGGGAAAATATGATGGAGACCTGGACCAACGGCATCACGACACGTGGCTATACTTGCTTTTCGCCGAGCACTCAACCCTCGACGCTTCGTTTCCCTCAAGATCAGCTGTAGAGCTCGAAGATGAAGTCCATGATTAGGGCGACGATCCCATGAGGCGTCGACGGTTGACTCCGCCTGGGTTGACACGACAAGATCCCTCGACTGCAGAAAAGATCGCTAGAGAGGGCGAGAAAGGTTAAACAGCGCGGACGAAGAAGGGAACGACCCTCTAAGACACGACGGGTTACGTGCAAAAGTAAGAGAAGTCTGACAGCATTAATTGCAAGGTTACAAACCGCCCCCCCAGGGGACAGAAAAGCATTACGGAGAGTCACAGAGCCGTAATAGAAGACTAATTGGTTGAGTGAACAATACTAATTAGTGGGCTATGTCTGGGCCTAGAAAGGGAGAGCACTTGAGTGTTCCTACCTACGAAGGAAACCCACCCAGTGAAGGAAGCCCGAGTATAAAAGAAGAACGACCCCCAATAGGGAAGAGGCCGAGAGATCCCGGAGGAGAAAGAACAAGAGAGAGAGATAGCATTTATTGTAAATTATAATCTCTATAAAAGAAATACAATATACACAGTGGATGTAGCTCTAATTTTATAGAGTGAACTGTTAGCGTTTATGCCCTTAGGAATAAATGTAACAATATTCTTTGAGATATTTTGACTATTAATAAAGATTTGTTTATTTTATATATCTATGTATTGTCCTCTTTATGTTCATAATAGTTGAATGTATGATAAGCAAACTGAAAGTCTGAGACTGTCATTCTAAATCTTTAGGTCATGCATGTAATGTGAAGAACATGTGGAAGACAAGAATCTAAAGATGATAGTCTAAATCTTATGATCCACAATCGAGGGAATAAAGTTAGGCGCTTTATTCATGTTAAGATTGTTATGTTGTCTACTTCCTAACGGAGACGGCTTGTCTTGGTCGTCGGAGGTGGGACTCCATGGGTGGAGA